CTGACTGGCACGTACTTGGCGAAGACGGCCAGAATAGGGGTCATGATCAAAGTCGGCAGGAGCATGCGGCACACCAAGGATGCGACAAGGAGCTTGGTTCCGATCTGGTCCTCCTCAGGATCCCGCATCTTCTCGCTCTTTTGCGTGTTGCGAGCTAGGTTGGCACCAAGAACAACCAGGATCAAGGGCACAGCGACGCCACCACTGGACTGAACAGCATCCGTGAAACTGTTCTTGATGAAGGATCCCTCTTCGAAAAAGATCTTCTGCAGAGCCGGGACTGAGGCAACAACGACGGCGCTAAGCATGGCCCACAGAGGCGGGTTCATGAACTCCCACAAGAAGTTGTAAAACTTGCCGGCGAAGCGGCTCAGGGCCGAGAGAATCGTCTTGAAGGGGGTCGGCAAACTGTTGTAGACTCTCGCAAAGAAGTTTGATGTCGATTCCTTGGCAGAGGTGACGGCGTTGTTGAAGGCGTTCTTAACGCGGCTAGGGTAGCCTTTAACTCCCTCGGGGATTTCGGGTTCATCCGTGTTACGAATGCGGGGAAAGGACGATATCTCATCGCCACTTCCGTCGAAAACGGGATGGTTACCATTGAGGGGTGCGAGACCGTTGGTCTTCATCGGCTTCTTGGGAAGGTAGTCGTCGTCCTCGTCTTCGGTATCGGCGGGGGAGGCTCTGGATCTGCTAGCAACAGGGGTGCGACCGGCCGGCTCATAGTTGGATAGGTCATCACTCGAGTGACTACGGGAAGTAGCGGTGCCGTCATCGTACTCGGTCAATAGGGGAGCGGTCTCGCGATCTCCCGGGTATTGTCCCTCCTCGACGCGCTCGTCCTGGTACTCGGGGTACTTGTCCTTGGGAGCAAGCAGCACGTGGTAGCCCCAGCTCCAGCGCACCAACTGACCGAGCTGCTGGAAGATCAAGAGGTATAGAATACCACGGGCACCAACCTCGTCATCGTTGTCCCCGGGGATCTTGTCCCAGTGTAGCCCCTTGATAGTTTGCGACAGGGACAAGATCATAGAGATGGGCAGGGAGTTTGAGTTTCCAAAGACTCCCATGGCCGTGACAAAGTTAGTAGCGCGGCGGTTGAAGCCAAAGCCGCGGGCGACGCCGGTAGCGACGAGCCAGGAGACAAGAGTCTGAATGATGAAGATGATGGGGATTACGGCGAGATCGAGGAGCTTGTCGGCATTGAGTTGCGAAGCCAACTTGGTAAAGACTTGTGAACACTGTTAGGAAGGCTACTTGGACACTATCGTGCAGGCGAGGTGGAATTGTAGACATACTAAGGCAAGGCGTGAATAGCATGACATTGAGATTGGCCAAGAACTTTTGCTTTTCAGCATCAAAGTGGCCAAGACGGGCAATGATGTAGCCCGGCAAGCTCACGCACACAACCTCGAGGACAGCCTCGAAGACGAGAAGAACCAAGTTACCCATGGAGGGGTGTGAATCGTGAGGCTTCTTCATGGCCATGAGGGGCATTTCGTATACGTTTTGAGCCATGTCTGCCAGTCGAAACGACGTCGGCGACGTCAAGTATTGTTGGTCCATTCTGGGACGTGGATATTAAAAGAGAGCGCAGAGACGGAGACTGCGGATGTCGAGGTTGAAGGAAGGTTACGGCGGAGATAGAAAGGGCTTCAGGACGGAGGTCCTGAGCGGCCAAAGCTGATGGAAGGTTCTCAAGAGGCTTGGCGCGGCGCGTTGACCTTGTAATCGGGCCCAAGCAGCGCGATGTGAATGTTTCGGATAGCCGGCGATGGGACGGATCGCAACTGAAAGAGTAAGGTACGGTGTTGAAGTCGGTGATCGGGTTTTTCGTTGGATGTCGGGATTATCGGTGGTATGTGTCGGGCCTCCACAGTAGAGTTCGGCCTTTTCCAGAAGTTTGCGACCAAGCTCTCATCCTCTGGCGACAAGAGACATGAGGAAAGTGCGAAAGTAGGTAGTATTAGTGTATTGGTGTCGCTGCTCGTCGTTTGGTAGAGAATCGTTGAGGAAAGGAAGCACGTGCAGGTATCAAGTTGATGGACAAGGTGTGGGAGGGGGAAAAGATGGAAGAAGGGAAAGGCAGAATACAGGTAAAGGTGATGGGTAGAAGGACCGAGAGTTCTCAGCCACAGAAGGGAAGGCACGATGATATGAGGTTGGTCCGAGTGGGTAGATTGATAAAGGAAAGAAAAATACGTAGTCGAGGCGAGCTAATCACGGCGCAAAAAAATGGCGATGGCGGCGTACCAACTGGGCTGGGCTGGGCTGCCCAGGCTGAGGTCGCCAGGGATGAGGGCGGCTCGCAGTGTGCCACTTCAGCGCGACAGCTCACTGTTTGGGAACAGCCCCAGATTCCGTCACCTCTGTTTTTGCCGTTTCTGCCTGCTACGGATACTTTTACTGCCTGTTCTTGTCCAGCTTTACGCAGTAAGGTAAGGTCCAGACTCCCAGGCCACCTCAGACTGGACCGTATCAGTTACGCAGATGGTGCAGCGACGCAACCTTGACACCTTCCCCCCAGTGGGGATGTGCAACACACTCAGCGACAAGCCGCAACCTGGCACACTGGCAGCCACCCACCCACTGCGTAGTGGAAGGCACTAAGGTGACGGACACCTCCCGCTAAGAAACACTTGGCGCCCAATCAGGAGCGCGAATGAGCCCACGATGACGCCGGGCTCCCAGCTTCAGCAGCAACAGCAGCAGGAGCAAGTCTCCATTCTGTGCCTCTGAGCAACTCATGCCGAAACTGAGCTGCCACCACCCTGTTGCTTCCTGCTGGGTCTTGCAACCCGCAAAACTCTGCATGCAAGGCACCCCGGCTATTCTTGCTCCGTTTTAGCAGTACGCTTAATGTGGTAGGCTCCCATCTCCCTCCCTTCCATCTGTGCACTGCCATCTTCTACATACTTGTAGGTATGTATCAAGTTGTTCATCAACTTAACTTCTTCCATTTCTTACAGACCATGCGAGCCCACAAGAGATATTCGAGGGAGGCAGCCGCTGCGTTGTATGTCCTGGTGGCAAAAAGAACACCAAACAGGTCCAACAGGAAGCACATCATCAATATGCACCCAGAAGCAAGCGCCTCACAGAACAACCAACTGACCGACTGGCTCTTGGCACAACAGGCGCAGTGTATTACACGGCGCCTTGGCAATGGCGTCGAATCGAAATCGAAATTGCCCTGACGTCGCCAGCTCCCGTTGACATGACGGACCCGACGTGGCCCCTCGCCTTTGGCCTTCTTCCTTACCGATAGCTGCTGCGACACCTCCGACTGCGACGCAAGCCGACATTCAATCCATCCATTCACCACCGTTTCTCTCGCCCGTCCCTTGCTTAGCTCCAGGAGTCTATCCCCTGCCGTTGGCCGTTTCCGGTTTTCCGCCCCCCATCTTTCTTGATTCATCCGTTGTCTGACAATGTTGCACATCGGCACACGACCTTGCATCGCCAGACATTCACGACATCTACGGCAGTACACCCACCGAGCACGGATACCTACCAACAAGTTGTTTGAATGGTCCTCTATGAGTCTATACCTACTCCATACAGAGTATCCGTACACGGAGTACACCAGAGAGTATCCATTCGGCATGGGATGCCACACCTGACGATCTTCCTCCGAGAGACACCCGCACCCGCACCCACAGAAACATAAGATCGCCTCCCGCGTTCCGCAGGTACGCATGCTGTACGTCAGGTTGCAGCGATTGAGAAGCACACGTTCGTTTCGGGAACTTCACCTCTGTTAGCCTCCCATTCAGCACACGGCGGAACCCAGTTTTTCCCAACACACAAATATCTTGCCTATTTCTTTCCCAGATATGGGATGTAAGAGAATACCTCCTCAGCCACACTGTTGCCGAGACACCATCAACGAACGCTTGCTTCGCCATCTCATCTTTGCGCTGATAGTTCCCGCACCCCGGGCTGTGCGGTCAAGATTTAGCCCCGATACCGCCGCCAAGCTGCCTCGGAGCCCAACTATTCAAGGGTCTTGCCAGCAACTTAAGCTTCGTGGCCGCGGTCCGCAGCGACTTCAGGGAGGGAACTTTCGGCTGCGTTTGCCCTCCTACTTCGCCCTTTTGCATGCACATCCGAAGTGAGGCTGTTGCATTCCCCATCACCCCGCCGTTTCTCCTCAACTTTGCCCATGATGGAAACGGTAGCTTTGAGCTTTACTAAACGTACGCACAGATGCTCCATCAAGGTAGATGCCTTCTACTTCTCGACCACAGCTACCATATTCAGGCTACTACTCTCAGTCCATTGTGCGGTCGTGTCAAATGTATGACGAGAAAAGATATCTCGAGCCGGGAGATCAGACTTCCACCGCGCCAAGTTGGGTTCAATACAAACACAGAACATGAGGCTATGCAGAAACGACTTGGCTGCTACACTTTGGATGACTTTGTTATCAGATCGCCAAGACATGTTCCACATTGCCCGTTGCGTCCAACCATGCGCGGTATCTCGTCGGTATTTCGGCCAGCTTAAACGTTTGATGCTACCTACAGTCTTCTCGATTCTTCTATGATGGTCCTTTGAGTATCGAACATGCCTCTTGGCAGGTTCTGCGATCTCCCGTCATCAAAGCCCTGCACTTGCAGGTACTTAGGAAGGCGATCACCTGGTAGATAGATGTGCTGATGCCCTCACGTAGTTCCTTTCTCCTTTTTCCAGCTGTTGAGCTCAGGGCCCGTCTCAGCATCCTTTGAAGCAGGCAGATGAGTGTTTTGCAGCAATGAACTAGCTATTTCTCGGGCTTTCACTCATAACTTTCGTTCCTCATGAGCGAGACCAGCAGCTTCAGGTTGACTGGTGACGTTCAAAGTCATTGTCCAAAATCATTGAGTACATCACGGATAACACCTAGACATATTGCCCTGGGACTCGCTCTTCCGAACGATGAAGAGAGCACTGGCAGCAGGCCGGTTGCTTTTGTTCTCCCGATCCAGTATGTCTCTATTTGCGCCGAGGGTTCACTAAAGATGTCGCATTTCACACAAAACCCTTATAACGGGCCCAAAAGACGTCCTGAGGCCTACGATAATGCGGTTGACCGGGCAGCCTTGAGAGTCCTCACCTTCTCGTCTCGTCGAGGACCATCGAAGAAACAAAACCTCTTCTCAAAATCCTTCACCTTGCTATACAAAATCAATCAAGACACCTACTATACACCACACCACAACAGAACTAACAGCAAGCCCAATATGAAGAGCAACCAGACCTCCGATCAGAAGAAGAAGCAGAAAGAGGAGAAGACTCTACAGATGGCCGATCCCAAGAACGAGGACAGCAAGTCTGCTGGCCCTGCGGGCAAAGTTGCCCTCTCTTCCACCGCACAGCAGCAGCAGCACGAGAAGCCTCGTCGCGTCATCAAGCCTCGCCCTCAGCACGCGAGCTCCCTCGAGACCGCGGACGATGATGAGTATGACGACTGCTGGGACCCCTATTACGAGGACTCGCCGGCCAAGGACGACAAAGTTGTCGAGGAGGACTTTGTCCTCATGAAGAAGCCTAACCCGTCTCGTTAAGAATCCCATTCTGGACGGAAGGAAGGAAGGAAACGAAGATCGGGCACGAGCCAGATTGAGCTGCGGCAAGAGCTTCACCATTCCCATAAGGAGGTCAGTACTGCCCACTTGGCATCGTCGCGGCCTCGATATACTAACTTGAATATCTAGGTGATGAAAACCCTTGTGAGATTACGATGACTTCCTTCCTTTACATACATCTTCATGAAAACGATGGCTAGTGGCCAATTTCCATCAACCAGCGTCTCTTTCTTCTGTGTGATTTCTTCCCGTTCCTGAAGGCCAGCTCTAGATCTCCTGCTCTAGATCCCTGCCTTATATCCCCGCCTTGGGCACCTGCTTTGCATCGCTTGCCCCTTTACGCAGGTAAACGTAAAGAATATTGACATGAAATAGGCAGTATGAGGCAGCCTTTCCAACAATCTCTGGATGCGGGCAAGTCTACGGACATTCCTCTTAATTATCATGACCACGCGATATCACTTCTCCAGTCTGGTGGCAGCGGTCCGGCCAGTCATCTAGGATTCGATGCCGGCGGTTGAGAAGGTAGGTGGGGAAGCTTCTCGTGATCAATATCGTAGACTGTATTTGGCTGGTATGCTGGAATCAGAGACAACGCGGTAGATGGTCAACACCAATCTCCGAATGAATTAATGAGGACATCCATCTAATTTTACTCCTCTCAGCCCGAGATCGTAATCGATTGCTCCTCGTAAGGTAGCCTTTGGATCTCTTCTTCAGGGCTTTTAGACGTACATCGATATGGCCAGAGGCCGAAATATATCGAGACCCGTAGAGCGCGAGAAATATGACGGGTGTGCGAATAGACCAGTGATGGGAATCTTCAATGTCGAGTGCGATGACTATTTCAGGTATTCAGCACCTCAATGAATAGCTCATCTACGCAGAAGGTAATTATTATCACCCAGTTATTCCCACATCACGAAAGATGGCTCATAGATTACAAGTGTACTCAGTCCGGGGATTTGTGCACTGGGCTATTCGACATGAGGGAAACAACATCGGTTGCCGTAGTTGGTCCGGTTTGTTGTGAACACCATCTGCAATCCTCAAAATTATATCACTTAATTCACGATGTTTCAATACTCCCGGTTAATGATCTACAGACGGCATGACTAACCCATCGTCCAGGCTTCAATGCCGTCAGCACTGAAAGTTCCCTCTCAATCCAAAAAAAAAAAAACCAAAGTAATACCATGCTTGTGGTTGATGTTTCGATGTCTCATCTTGTGCTAGCTTGCGACCTTGACGTAATAGACATGCTATTCGGAGGATGAACAAGAAATACGTCTACAACTTGCATCACATCAATCGCCAGACTTTCGGCTACGTACCTCGAAAGATTTGATGAACAAGTGATATGCACAAAAATTAGATGCATGATATCAATCAGCATCACATCATGCGCCCGAGATGCGCAACATTACGGTCTTGTTCGACATCGAGATTATCGGAAGCTGTCAGCAGAGCCCAGGAGCTTACACACACTTGCACCAAAGGAGGTGATCGACAAGCGGCGTGGGGGAAAGAAGAGTCACACTGGACAAGACTGGACAAGACATCAAAGTGAAACAGATGACAGATGTGGAGAATCGAGGATAATCTCTACGGTGCTTGTGGTTGCTTTGTGGCACGACGGATGAGCAGAGTGCAGGTGGCGAAACCATGTGGCTGATGACGACAGAGGGTTCATCCTCTTCGCTCTGCTTCTCCCCGGGCCAGATATCGACAAAGTCAACAACCTCAACAAGACGATTACAAATGTTCGTAGACTGAATCGAAAGACGCGGAAATTGATAGGAGATACGGTCGGCAATTGCAACATCTCGGAGGCCGCTTGCCATTGAATTTACGCTTCTCCTTGACTCTGCAGGGCCTTCCCTGGCGAGCTGAACTACAGTTTACCATGGGATACTCTGTTTTGACAGCATTTGCCACTTTCGACGACCATCGGCGAGAGCTCCGGTCGACTGCGCGACAGGATTGGCCCGGTTTGCGCGGCATCCAGCGTTGGCTCTTCTGGGTGTGTCCTCTCACGAAGCAGATCTTTTTGGAGGGTAACATTTTCTCTTGGGCATCAGGGCATCAAAACACTAAAAAATTAGAGGACCCTTGAATTACTTTCGACTGCGTGGACCGTTAGACTTTGAAACTGCATATTTTCCCCGGGGGGCTGTGAGGCGATGATCGCGGGTAGGCCGTAGCGAGTGGCGGCTGTGGATGAGATTAGGAAACGTGCCCATAGTCTGGATTCTGTTTTCGTTCACCGTATTCTAGATTCCGTATTCCAGATCTCGCAGATCAGGTCATGGGATTTTGCTCGCTGGCATCTTGTGTTTCCGCGATCACGCCCGCCCTAGCCGTGGTGGTTTCGAGATGCTCAGACGCTCCGACCGACGACGTCTTACCTAACAATCAAGGTACTTAGGCACCTTGGCTGTTGGACTGCAGCACGAAGACATCAGCGAATCGCATAGACGCGGGCGAGGTTCCGGTCGAACTACGATTGGACGGAACGCAGAGAAGAATTTCGTACCTCGATGATGTCAGGCGGAGGTAATTGTCCGCTGTTATTGATAAGATAAGGCATCGAAGTACCTAGGCCTACCCAAAAAGCTGCCCTGTTCAATTCTTTGGGGAAAGCAAATGTACATAGTACGTATCGTACGCATATTCTGGACGACGGGAGAAAACGTCATCAGTCGATGGGAAATCGTCCTAGTGGCATGCCGTTTCTTCCATGAATTCCTAATACCCAGTGCATAGCGATGATGCAAAACCCATTTCGACCTTCTCTTGATTTAGGAAAATCATCGGATGGCATTGTGTACAACCCTATACTTTTTCAGGTCAGCAGCCTGCCCATCCCCGATCCGCGACGGGCAGACGTGCTTCAACGACGAAGAGTTGCGGTGGGGGTTGAACCTCACCAGGAGACGCTGTACGGGCTAAGTAGCCAGTAGCGCGAGTGTAGTGAGCCTCCCACGGGAAATTACGCTCATCCGTTCAAAACTTCAAGCCACAAGTTTTTCTCAGTCTGTCGTTGGCGTTGCTCTTTGCAACTCGTGGAACTCCCTCTTACTCCATCAACGTCATCACTCCTCAGTGACGACCCCATAGCAAATTGACGAATTGCGGGACGCCGGAAGAGGGGGCTAGGATCAGTGACCGGGGTATGGATGACACTGGCGTTGAGGGGCCCTTACTATCAAACTTGTCAAAGGCAAGCATTCTCCAATCTCCATTCTCCAACAGAGACCTACCAAGCAGAGAACAGAGCCTACCTTAGTCCTGCCCTTTCGAAGGGCTTCTATCAAGACGGCTCGATCATTGGTCGACGAGGTCGAGGATGCCATGCGCAAATTCAGATGGCCGCTGCTTCGGCACGGTACTTTGCGGTCTAAGAGACTAGCGTCAACGGGGGAATATGCAGCTTTCATCTTAGACTGCCCGTCGTCGTCCTTCCTGGTGGGTGCTTCGACCGCATGACGGTGCCGCCTTCGCCAATCGTTTGCTTTGCCTTCAACAGGCAAGCCCTCCGCCGGGCGCCAGAAGTCATGGCCGATGCGTCCTTATGTAATGTGCTGTGTTTGTGGGGGCCGGATCGTGAAAGGTGTCGAGAAAGAAAAATGCAGCTGTTGTTGCGGTGTAAGACAGAAACGGTCTAGTCGTCCGTTGCTTGTATCTGGGTTTCGTCTGCTTGGTGGCTACTATCGCTTTGGTTGAGGTAGGGGTCTGTAGACCAGCTCGGTTCCGAGCTGCGAGTTACATCACTCTGGCCGTTGCATGTGCTATTTTCAGAAACATCGCGACGAAGTTAGCAGGTTTCCGCAAGATGAGATTAGCGCTGTGATTCTCACTCTTGATGTACAGAAGCTAGCTCAGTCATTCCCGTCACTGGAGCGAGTATCCTTAGCAGATGGAGCATAATGCATGGAGCACATATGCAGGCGCGTCCACCGTCGAGAGGTGATGTGCGGAAAAACCTTGCTGATGGTCCCCTGCAATGCTCACTAAAGAGCCACAGAGCCTGCTTAGGGGGGGGGGGGGTTCGAATGACTCCATGGGCCTGGTCCCCTTGCGACAGCCGAGCCACACAAGTATCTCTGGGTGGCTGCTGGTTGTCGTTGTAGACGCAGGGCATCTCATTGTTTGGTGCAGTGTGAGATAGGTAGTCGAACTGTCGCAATGGTGAGATCTGACTGACGATGCGTGGGTAGCTCTTGGAAAACGATTGGAGTAGACCGCTGTCACCGGATGCACGATGTCCTGGAAGAAGCCGAGAGGAAGTTGGATAGACTGGGCGGTGATGCAGGTGGCGGTGCTCTCCAAGGGACAGTCGCTGCATATGCGGATGTGCATATCGTTCAGGGCTCAGGGAGTCAGGGCAGGGCGGATGGATGGATGGATGTTTTCCCTTCATGCTTGGGACGCGGGAGAGTGCTGCGAGGCCTAGGTTGAGAGAGAACTTGTTGCTGCGCTGCTGTTCCATTGCGCTGCTATTGCACACCGGGAAGGCTTGATATGTGGTTTTTGTTTCTTTTTGCGGCGCATCTGCCCAAGCTGCCTTCCCTGACCTTGCCTGATGTCTGTAGTTGTGAAGCCAAGGCAGGGATCTCCTCCCTTTAGACCCTCAGATTATTGAGTGCTATTGACTGACCAACATTGAAGTCTGGACTGCCGGGCAGCCGTCAGGTCCCACCGAAGAAGAACAGCACGGAACCGGAATGGTGCTACCTGACCTGATTGTGGATGACACGACGAGCCTCTTCTGCCTCTTTCTAGGTGAGTTTCGATTTTCGTACCGATGTACCTTGTTGAGTGGGCAATTGGAAGGTAAAGGCAGGAAGAAGACGTTCCGGCACATAGGGGTGTACCTACCTACCTGCCCGCTTTGCTATCATTAACTGGATGCGGCTGAGATACCTACCAAAAGTACGGGAATTGAGTGTCTCTGGGCATACGTACCGTCAATAATGCCCGGTGTGAGATTGCTATTGATGTAAGGTATCTTTACGGAGTAAGGTACGGAGTATGGACCGCGTTTTACGGAGACTGCATCCTGGATCTTCCATCTAGGTACCGTAATTAACAGAATAGAAGTCAACGTCAAGGTCAATCTCAACAGCCACAACCTGGACGTTGGCGCCCAAAGTGCCCTTTTTGCCTTTTTTTGTCCCGTTCATCTTGACACATCCCACATATCTTTCGACTATTTCTGCCCTGCTGCAGCGTGCAACTCTATCTATCAACGACTAATAGATTTGTAGATTCTATATATGCTGTACTAGTTCGCCCCCCTCTTCCCATCTGAACTCGTCCATCACTTGGCCTCTTTCCGTGCACGCAGACGGATGCCCTAAACACAAACACGCGCAGAGCAACAAGGCATTGACCTTTGGCATCCAACACCCACTACGGTTCGGTCTTCAGATTTTCACCAGAGATTGGTTGATTGGTGAGCCTCAAGTTTCCTCAATTTCCCGACCCCGTCCAATTCCAGTTCACTCTCTCCCATCAAGCGGTGCATTTATGCCCTTTGGGTTCTCTTCTCCTCCTTCCGCAATTCTGCTCGATGCTGCTCAGAAGCAGGCACCGGGGCAGAAGCAGAGGCAGACGTCGACCTTGCTGGATGGGTACAAGCGTATGGTGCATCCACAGTGGACGGAAGGTACAGGTACAAGAAAGATGGAGCAGATACCTTGCTGTCTGCTCCATCGTCTGCCCAGTTCTTGAGTCCTAGCAGGCACGTCCATGTACCTTACCTCAAGTCCGTAATCCCCCGCCTGGAATTTCTCACGAGTCACCCACCTCACTCACTGCTGAAGTGCTCTCTTCAGCCCGTGGAGGAGTGACTAAGGTTACTGCGTCGCGGATGGTCCCATGTACCCCTACTCGACGACAGATAGCCAAGGTACTCTGGGCTGCGCTGCATTTGTGACGTTTGCACCAAAATTGCGTTGCGACTTCGAACCCATTTTCCCTCGTCTAATTCATGCCCCGCCGCCAACCTCTTTTTGGGTCCTTGAATAGAGCAAAAGCGACAGAGAAGGTCCAACGAGGACATCATATGTGTCGGTCTCTCTATCCGTACCTCGCTTTGCCTACCTTGCCTTTCTTCTCGATACCTATCCATCCTCCTCTCTTTATCATACCTCAGCCTCCCTCATCTATCTCCCTCCCCTTAAACGTCGCATCCACCCTCGCATATTCTCTTCTTTCCTCTCTCATCGCTCTCACTCACTCACTCACTCTCTTCTCGCCCCACCACTCTCCGTACCCTCCTCTCTCTATCTCACTCTCTCTATTTCACCATCCGTCTCTCCTCTCCCTGCTCCTCTGCTCAGCATTGGACATTGGACTCACAAGCCAGTAAGCCATCAGACGACCGCTACAGCTCAACAAAATCGGACTGGCCGGCCTAGCCCGCTCGCGCATTCTCTGCCATTTTCCGACTTAGAGTTTGCCCTTGCCACCGCCCCGGTCGCAACCCCGACCCCGACTGCGCAGCAGGCCACACTACCAAAACCGCCGCGTCTAGACCCCGCGGCAGCATTTCGCTACAACCCTCGAGTTTTCGATCCTCTGCCATCGCTTACCTCTGAGCGATCGACCCTCCTGTCTCCCTAGCACCCCGCGTGCGACCCGACTTGACGATATTTCGATATCTATCGCGTGCCCGACTTTTGTCCTCCCGCACCTTACCGTCCCGGTCCATCACCTGCCGCACATGCTATAGAGTCATCCGAGACACTGCCTGCAGTCGACTCACTCGCCCACCCTCTCCCATCGACCATCGATAGCATCAGGTCACCGCCAAGGTCAATTCACATCTCGCAATGACGGACCTAAATACTACAGACTCCATGCCTGCCACCCCCGATGGCTACGTTGGCGATAGAGACGGACTCGGCAGCCCTACGTCGCCCGGTTCCGCCGACTCTTCCGAGGCCAGCACCCCACTCGAAGGCCCCTCGGAATCCCCTTCAGAAGTGCCCAAACGTCTCCCGTCGCTTCGCACCGTCTCCGATCCCCAAAATATGACTCCGTCTTCGACACCGTTGGGCATGCTGAGCAACGCACGCCGTCCGCCTCCTACCGCTTCCATGATGAGCATGGGTGGTGGTGCCATGAACGAAGTCATGGCAAGGGCAAGGGCGCTTCACGCTCAGCGCATGGGCAAGCCTGCTGGCTCACAACCCCCTCCTAATAATATGGCAAGCTCGCCGCAATCTCCAGTCCCACGACAAGGCTCTCCCGGAGGGTTACCTGGCGGAATACCTGGAGGGCTGAAGCTGCCTGCTGGTATGGTTCGCCCATCGCCTGGTGGTATGCCACGCTCTGCCCCGGTCATCCCAACGAAACCATCTCTTGCTGCCAGGCGTGGACCCATGATGAAACTTTCCGACATGGGCGGTGGTCCTTCGCCTGCCTCTCCGACCGCGCCGAAGTTGTCTGATATCCACGGTCCTTCCAATAATGGGAGCGGTGCACCTAACGGAACGACTGGATCTAAGATGGACGAGTTCAAGAAATACATTGATTCGGAGAAGGGGTGGATTACGTTCGACGGTGCTGCAACTATCACCAAGAACGGTGTTAACTTTGCCAATGGCACAGCTTTCACCATTTCGCTAGACGAAGTGGAGGTCTTGGACGAGCTTGGCAAGGGTAACTACGGTACCGTCTACAAAGTGAGGCATACAAAGCCTAGAGTACCGAGGTTTGGATCTGGACTGGGCGGTTTCAAGAACCCGAACTTGAACTCGTCACAGTCGGACCCATCACCCCTCCGCCATGCCGACACATCGATCGAGTCATCACCAGTCTCAGCATCCACTGAAGGTACCGGCAGGGTGATGGCGATGAAGGAGATTCGGTTGGAACTGGAAGAGGCCAAGTTCACGACCATTCTCAAGGAGCTCGTTATCCTACACGAGTGTATATCGCCCTACATCATTGACTTTTATGGAGCCTTCTTCCAAGAAGGTGCCGTCTATATGTGCATTGAGCACATGGACGGTGGATCGATCGACAAGCTGTACGACGGTGGTATTCCCGAAGGCGTGCTACAAAAGATTACATACTCCACGGTGATGGGCCTCAAGTCTTTGAAGGACGAGCATAACATCATTCACCGTGATGTCAAACCTACCAACATCCTGGCCAATACTAGAGGCCAAGTCAAAATTTGCGATTTTGGTGTCAGTGGAAACCTTGTCGCGAGTATCGCCAAAACCAACATTGGTTGCCAGAGTTACATGGCACCGGAACGTATCTCAGGAGGAGGTATGACAGCTGGCGCCGATGGCACATACAGCGTGCAGAGCGATATTTGGAGTCTCGGTTTGACAGTCATCGAGTGCGCCTTGGGACGGTACCCCTACCCGCCAGAGGTATCGTCGACGATTTTCAGCCAGCTGAGTGTAAGTATACTGAAGATTGCTGGGAGACGCGAGCTAATTTGGTGACAGGCTATTGTTGAGGGAGAGCCCCCAGGCCTGCCAGAGGAAGGTTACTCCAGCACCGCACACGACTTTGTCCGCAAGTGCCTCAACAAGATTCCGAAGGATCGTCCAACCTATGCGGCGCTGCTCCAACACCCTTGGATGGCACCTTTTTCCAAGATTGAGACGATTACCGAGGAGGCAGAAGAGGGAGAGGAGGCTGAGGCCGTAGCAGATGCCGTCGGCAAGCTCTCCCTCTCGTCTGGCACCGAGGATGAAGAAGTCGCAGACTGGGTCAAGTCTGTGTTGGAGCGGAAGCGCGCAGGTCTCATCGCTCCGGCCGCCAAACCGGCACTACACGCTGCTCCATTACAGTCCCCGGCCGCGAGCCCTGTAGTCGGAGCTGGTGGTATGCTGGAATAGGCGTTGTTGAGAGAGAAAATAAAAAAGTTGGCCGAAGCCACGTTGTCGGCGGGGGAGGTTTATGACATTCACAAATTCCCATGCTGACCGAGCTGGCCTTCGTTAGTCTTCTTATTCGGCCCCTTGCACTTCTCATCTTTTTTTTTTTCTTTGCTTTGTCTCATACCCTCAATCCAAGTATTTCTACATTGCATCATCAGCATATACTACTGGTTGGCAAGGAGTGTTTGTTTTCGACAATTGGGGTGGTTTCTTCTGCGTTGCTTGCGTTGAGTGATAGGCTCCACGGCCTTTTGGAAACGTCCAGTATACGACACGGATGGCGTTTCCCTTTCTTGATTGGCAATTTTGTCACTCCCCCTTTTCCTTGAATCACGGATTGATGGTCATGATGGGTTACTGGGTGTGGGAGTATTTACAACGAAAGGAGCATATACGACGGAGGGGCTGGGTGGCATGACAACGAGACAGACAGAAAGAAGAGCTTCAAGATGACAAAAAGGCAACTGAGGTGTTGAGAGATCCCGAGATGCAATCGACGAAAACTTCTGTGTCGTAGGTGTGTGTGTGTACACGTGTGGTCCGACTTAGGAGCAGCGAGAACAAGACCTGATGCATGTGAGCAGAGTTGGTGGGAGGCAATGGGCCCTTCTGAGTGATAATTTCTAAAATAAAGGAGCGACCCAGTCAATAAAGAAGTACCTTTGCCTAGAGAGACCTGTCCTACGCCGTAATCCAATCGAAAAGGGGTTCTGAAAGCATACAAACCTCTTCGGTCCTACGCATGATACGTAGCGAGGTCAGGATAGGACAAGGTAAGTGGATCGATACTCATGGGTGAGAAAGTTGCGACACAAATAGGAGCATGACAGTCATTCAGTTTTCATACAGCGTACGAGGGCTCGCTGTCGAGAATTTCGTAACTCTTAAATTTATACTTTGCAAATTCTCATCGTTGGAGGAAACATCGCCAAACATAAGGCACACGCTTCAAGTGGTCTGGAGTGACAAAGTTTACGGCATTAGTCTATTAGTTTGGAGTAGACCTAAAGAGCGGTACATGTCGGAGCCGGGTACTAATGACGCATAACTCCAAGGCCATGAACAAGAGGTTGACCATCGATCCATCTCGGGAAGACCTCATGGGTGTATGTGGCTCTTCCAAAACGCCAGCGAAATGCAGAAACAAGATAACATTATTGCGTAAGTACAACATACACACGATGGACATATCATTAATACAACATCCTTGAGATTTTGGAATGGTGCCCACGATGAGGAATTGTTGTGGAAAAATTCGTGGTGCTCCTTTGCTGTGAAAGGCCAGCAGCTGCCTTATGCATAGTCTTCCTTGACACGGCGGCTGCTGTTGACGTCGAACGACTGGCGGCTGCGAGTGCTGCGCTTGCGGCTGAAGCGGCTGCCTCCAGAGTAGCCTTTGTCGCCACGGATGCCGATGCAGAACAGTAGGGTCGCAATGAGAAGAGCGGCCCAGGCTCCCCAGGTGAAGCCAAAGGCGTAGGTGCCAATGTGGGCCTCACGACCTTCGGCCTGGAAAGCGTTGCGTGCCTTGACGAATGTTGCGCTATAGAGAAATGTCAGTCACTGCGAACAAAATGAGGCGATGGATAACTGGGGGACGTACGTCATCAAAGAGGCGGCAACGGTCAAGAAGAAGAGAGCCGAGGCGGAGACCAGGCCGGCGACAGCGGCGCCGAGACGACCGCAGCATGCGAGGAAGCTGGCGAACCAGGCAAGAGCCATGAAGAAGAGGGCGATCAGGTACATGACCCAGCCGAAGCGCCACATGTAGAAATACTCGGTGCTGGTGGTGCCGCCTCCGTGGCTACCTGAAAGGCCGGTGGGAACGTTGGCCGCATCACGGCCCCAGGCCCAGCCAAAGGCCGGGGCAGGCCAGGCACCCCAGCACTCTGCGTTCTGGTCGTTGCAGTAGTAAAAGTAGTTCCACCGCGTCAGTCCGTTGCGTGCGCCGGTGATACCAGTAGTGTCAGCCTCGAGGAAATAGGTGTTGTTGAGGGGCGCGGCGTCGCGGACAGCAGAGAGGATGACGAAGAGCAGCAGGACGATGGAGCCCGAGAGGAAAACGATGGCAGCAGTGCCGAGCGGGGCGTCTGGAATGATGCTGTGTCAGTCTGCAGCTGGGACTTTGGAGTATGTTTCGCGGCGCAAGGGCGGGAACAAGGAAAGAGGACTCACGTTTAACCATTGCTGCGATTCGGTTTGGCTGTTGGTTGGATTGCCTTTTTTGTTCTCCGAAGGGTGGTGTTTGCGATTCTTTGCGATGGCTGGGAGGAGAGGGTCGGCGGAGACCTGTAGGGATTTGTACTCAGCGATTGTGTCTTTTCTGGGTGGCCGGGGTTGTGCAGGAATGCAAGGTAATGGAGAAGTAGTAGATTTGGCCTGGGAAGGACAAAGTAGATGGCGTACGGGTGTGTACGGATACACAATCGCAATTCTACACTCGTCACTTGGGGAAAGGTAGGCT